TTTCTATTAGGAAATAGAGAACTTTTTATCTGATTTCATTTTCATACAGGACTTTTCACCTTCTCACACTATATGAAGTACCAGGTGTTAATTACTATATTATCACTGAGCTAAACTTACCAAATCACAAAAAAGAAAAAAAAATAATAATAATAAACCAATTCAGTATTGTCAAAAGGCAATGAGAGACACCAGACCCAACAATGGAGTTAAGCCTGGAAACTGCTATTAGCAACCTGGGTTTCCTTAACACCTCGGCAGTGTTAGAAACCACACTGCAATGGTGAGGTAATTAAGAGCCACAACAAAGGATTGAGAGCATATAATGTTCTCTCCATGGACATAGGTAGCAATAGATAGACATTTCTGCATTAAAAATTATTTAAGTAATCTTCTAACTTTCTGAATTGGGATGTACCTCTGTTTCGATGCTGCCATAAAAGTACATAGCATCTTTAACCTATAATTAGGGATTGACAGAAATATATCCCATTAAGTTTCTGTTGGGACTTTTTCAGCTCTTTAGTCAACAAAATGTTGTTTACGTGGTTCATAGACAACATTTTGACTTACAAGATCAGAGTTTTCACAGAACCCCCCCGCCTTTATTATCCTTCCTACTAGCTTAAACACTCTACTGTTCTACAGGGCGAAATTAATTTTTTTTAAAAAAACAAGACTGTATATCATCTGTTTGTCAACCTTTTCAGTGATTACCTCCATTTCTCCCTATGCCTCTGGAAAAGTGCCAGAAAATGAGTATAATTTTCCTCCCTGGAGTTTCTGCATTTCCATCAGCAGGGAAAATGAAAACCTGGCCAACTTAATGACCAAATCATGATAAGATCTGTCTTATTTGCATTTTAACAATGGTACAATAGCAAAATATCTTGGCGTTTCTTATTTTTGTAATTATTTAGTCTTTCAAATGGATGCTTTTTCCTGAAGCGTTGCCACACACTTGCAGTACTGTTTGGGTTTCAAGGAAGAAAAAAAAAAAATCAGCAAATTATCTATTGGTCTTAGATCCTCGCTTTTAGCAAGATTTACCTGATCTGACAAAATATTAGTGTAATTATACCAAATAAGATTTCACATAACGCAGTCAAGTAAATGCAAATTTAATGCAGGGAAAACAGGATGATGGATAGCAACATTAGCCATGCTGTGAATACTGAATGAATTTTATTCAACAATAGGCTCTAACATTTCTTTTAAAGTAGATTTTCATGAATATCCAACATCATCTTGTGATGGTGGAGTCAAGTGTTGAGATTATTTAAAATATAAGCCCTGAGTTATTCCTTTCACTTGGGGCTACTTCCTGGGGTCCATACAAATCACATTTCCATGGCTTCTTGTTTTCCTATCAGTGTGATTCAGAGGAAATTGTTCTGCCTGTCGGGTGCAGCATATAAGATGAGGAGTAGAGGCTTTTAAGGGTTACATGGTCTCTGTAGTGTGTATTTAATATACCAGAAACATGATGTAAGTATCATAAAACCAAAGCATCACCATTTTTATAACCAAAAGTTCTTCCTTTTTTGTCTGTGGTGGTGGGTAAAGTGAATTGTGTTCTCTAAAGCTCTGATGATGGACGTTTATGACGCTTCTGTCAAATCTTTTGTCAGACTGTGTCTGAATTAGCAGCTTATTTTCAGATTTATTTGTCACATCCGATCAAGCCTTTCAGCTAACTTACAGCAAGAATTAAATGGTATTTTGACGTGTTACTCTTGCCCATTGTCAAATGCAATACAGGGATTTAACATTTTTAAACTTCACTAAATAAAACTTGGCCTTTCCATTTTAATAGTATAATATATTGGTGTTTGAATTGGATTTTTGTGCAGTTTATATGTTTCGTTTTTCATTCGGGGATTATTTTTGGGAGGAGAGAAGTTAGCCCAACCCTCCTGCTTAAAAAGCCTTGCCACCATATACTGTCCATTATGTAGAATATTTAACTCTAAAGGCCTGAGGTGTATTCTGAGATTGTGTGTCTACCTTGTCACAGGGTTTTAGAGTTTCTGAAATCTGTGTCGGGGCTATTTTTGTGGTCAGTCTTGCCCCTTGTCACCACCTTTAAAAGAACACTGGTGATGCAACTGCGTTGTTGCTTTTCAGTGTTTTTGTACAAAGAGTCTTATAGGCAGATTTTTAGATGCCTGAGTAAAAAGAAACTTTCAGTGGGGTGTGATTATATGTAGAGAAGACTTGACATGTATCACAGACTGAACTATTTTTCCTCGCACAGCTCTGCACTAAGTGACAGTTCCCATGTGTGATATACCGCCAACTTCTTTTTTGCTTCTTGTTGAAGATAATTAGACTGTGCATTCCCATGATGGCAGGGATTGCGTGACGAGCTTGAGCATGCTGCTAGAAAAAAGGCAAGCATAAATAGTTCATCCTGTGATTTCGGAATAAGCAATAAGGATGTGAGGGCGCAGAACTCATTCTCGCCTACATGTGGCATATCAGTCGGGCTTTTCTGCAATGCACCTGTAGCAATTCACCTTCCTGCTCTCTCTTGAGCTGTAAGTTGGCCCTTGAATGGCAACAGAATTGAATCAATGTCACAGCAGGTGATTCAGGTCTTTCCTCTATAGGGCCCTTTGGGAAGTAGAAGCTTGCATGAATAGAGCAAATGGTACACATTGTGCTGTTTGTTGTTGCTCACCTGTAGAAGCTTTGAGTATTCTCTCTTGTTTGGGCTTTTTCACTAGATTCTCAACCAAAAAGTGATCCTTTTTACTGATCTTGAGCACTCAAAGACATTCATTGTGGATAAACAATGTTCACCAGTTTGTTTGTTTTTGTTTTTGTTTTTTATTTTTTTGGGGTGGGGGGGTTGTTTTTTTTTATGTTTCGGATGAAAATGAATCAAAAAAGTTGATTATGTCATTTGCTAAGTTTGCTTATACACAGTTGCATTAGATTCATTGACCAAAATGGAGAAATGTGGGGGGGTAGGGGGGGTAGGGGGGGAGCCAAACAACAAGCATAAAAAACACATCAAAAATTAGCCAAACAGTAACAATATCACATTTGGTAGACCTCAGACAGAAAATTGCCCTTTACCCCAAATTCAAATTACTATCCAATGCACAAATGTAAAAGCTTTCCCATTCTACCTGTATTTCACTATAATGATGATTATTGTGACAAGAACTGTAATTTAAAGCGCAAGAAATCTGTAATTTCTGCTTTGATTCTAGCATTGTTACCCAGATCTGCATGGCTTTTCACCAACTGTACCATCAGAATAGCATATATTATAGTGCAATGGGTCACAGTTTCCTGCATATAATCAATCCAAGTTTTTCTAATGAGGGTTAAACTGCAGTACAGTAACTGTCAAAGCACTGTTCCAAGAACAAATACAGGCACACCCAATATTTGCACAAATCCCAGACTCAGTCTGTCCACAGTTTTCTTACATGTGGCTGACTCTAAAAAGTCACTTCATGTTAATGCTGAATCTGTGGTGATGTAAGAGCAATACAAATCCTGATGCACATTTAAACAGAAATGTAATGATTTGTGGGTAAGAAGTTGGACCAAAATGCAAGCTGGAATTCAGAAGTAAATGATAAAATACGTTTTAATAAGGAATTCAAAGCTCAACTTCCAAAACTGGGACGACGACACCAGAAGCCAGGGAATAAACAGAATGGGAAACATGAGGCAAGCAGAAGGAACCAGCATGAAATGAATAAAAGAGGAGGTTAAATACTAGGTGGCAGGGTTGGTGGAACAATGGACAGACTAATTACAAACTGAACTCAGGTATGAGGGAAGAGCAGAAGGCAAACTGAGGGACAGAGAGATGGAGGAGGAGAAAACACTAACAAGGGGGCTAGACAAAAATAAATCTAACCGCAAGAATAAATAAACAAGAAATAAATAATAGTGGTGATCTGAACAAAATAACTAGGACAAGTCTAACTAAACTGAAATAGAAACAAGGCTGATTTAATCAAACCTTAGATCAGGCAAAAACACAGACAACAAATAACCAAAACTAAAAACCCAGAAGAAGTAAACATGCCAAGAAGCTTTTACAAGTGTGATTTTTTCTCACATGATTTGAGGACTCCCACCTCACTCCTTCATTGTGACATGCTCCCCCTGCGTGTCACACCAAGACCGTGGTAGGGTTGAATAAAACATCTATAGACATCAGCAGACATTTTGCATTGACATAAAACACATCAAAGTGTAAAAGGACCCATTTTCTTACCTGGTAAACTTTTGTTGGTGTTGACTTTTGACACCCTTTTGATCTGTCTTAATGAAAAGATTCAGGGTATTTCTTTTCCTCACCAATATTTCCTGCTAAAATTATTTTAGTAGTAAAAGTACTCACTGTATTGTTCTTACTTCACAATGTGTCACTCAGACATCCATTGAATTCACCCGTTTCTAATAAAAATGTATTTTTGCCACGAAAACACCTCCTGTCTGTGACAATGACAAGCTCCCAAATAATGTAGTAACACATGCTACATCTGAGATACAGGGTGAAGCATATCTGCTTAGAGTGCGACTTGAAAGATTATTTTTTTGTCAGAAAATTCAATTTCAAACCTACATATTGACATTAAACGTATTAAAACATATTGTTTTTTTTTTAAACTAAAGATGTACCTTTAAAAATTATACCGTTATAATTTTAATGTATCAATATATTGAAAGAGTATTGTTCAAAAACATGTTATGGATTAATTTTAAATATACTTCCTCAGATTTCCTAAAAAAAAAAAAAAAGATCTTGCTGATCTTTATAGACACACTAACTGGGTGGTCACCAATCAGATAAAAAAAAAAAAAGCCTAATTCCAGCTACCAGCTAATTCCTATATGAAAGCCAGGCTTTCATAAAGTTGTGAAAACACACTGTAAATTACGTATGTAGATGTGTGAAGCAATTCAGCACTGAAAATACCACAAGAAAATGCAGGAAAAGCAAAAGGCTTAAACGACAGAAAACTGACCTTAAACAGCCGCAAAATGTTGGCTACCATGATTGACACGGAGCTGGCGGAGGCACCAATCACTCCAACCACTCTCTCGGGCTTAGTGATGATGGGTGGCCCTCCGCTGAGACACTTGACATCAGTCGAGTCCTTCTCAATCAATGCCTGGACAAATGTCAGCGACTGTTCCAGAGCATGGGTGTCCCGAGAGCACGTGTCTAGGATGCGGGCCCCCAGAGTGATATTAGGCAGCAGCTCGTTGTCGTTATTAATACGATCCAGGGCAAACAACATGGCCTCCAGCCTATGGATCCCTTTCTCCTTCTTTAGCTCTCCGCAGGCTTTGCCGTCATTCCCTCTTGCATGGACAGGGAAAAGTCCACCCAGAGATATGTCTCCGTCGATGCGTATTGAGTTGAGGTGTGTGTGGCCTGGCATTTTGGGCTTCGCTGCGGAGGTGATCAGACGGCAACAACACAGAAGCAAGAGCCAGCGGAGAACCTTTCTGTGGCAACCGTTCTGCAGTGTCTCAAAGCCTCCTTGTAGAGTCATAATGAAAGGCTAAATCTGCATTCAAATACAAATTCAATTCCTTTGAAAGTGACAGAGGCGTTCACACATACACCCCACACACACATAAAAATGTCCTGTAGGTTAGCTGCAATGCTTTTCAGGGTGCAGTTGTCTTCAAAAGTCTCGCCTCATGGTTTCTTGCTCTGACACAAAGTCAGTAGCTCTAATTATGTCGCTTCGCTCTGTTTATCTACTTCCTTTTCTTCCCTCTTTGTGTTTTAGTCTGTGCTTGCACCTGAGAGTGGAGGATACACGCAAGCAACTAAACAGTGCAGAGTGTGCTGAAGCGGAGTCCGCAGAGACTGCTCTCATAAGGCAAGAACAAAGATGGGAAGCTTGCTTCTCTTCTCTGGTTTTTTTCCCGGAGCACACAATTATGTTTGGCTTTCCTCTTGGTGTGCCAAGCTGATAGGACGTCACAGTGGCGTCCACTTTGGGCTCCTGCAAAGACAGAGGGGGAACACGATGAAGAAAACAGCAAACACAGTCAAATTATGGGAATAGGTAGAAGAGAGAGAGAGAGAAACTGGAATCTCATCCACATTGTTTCTGTTAAGATGTGTTTGCTTGCAAAGTGGGTGTGAGACAAGCTGCTCTGTCATGCTCTCTTTTTCAATTGCCATCATATTCAGAACTACACAGTGCACTGGCATGAGGCAGCAAATGCCTGAGTCTTTTTTTTTTTTTTTTTTTTTTTGAATTTTTAATTTAAAGCAGAAATAATACCCAGAGCACTGCACAGGAACTCTGCTCTATATTGTACCCATGCCTTGGCTGCTTTCAATGCAGTGCACTGAATTATTTCTGTGTTTCTTGAGCGTAAATGATTTGTTGCTTGGCACACATCCACAAGCGTCATAACTGCACACTGATTTGTCTCCAGAGTCTTTTACCGAAAGATTATGAAGTACAGCATAAAATTAAAAGCACATAACACTGATAATTTAGAAAACATTAATTCATCTGTGTACATAATCTTCTGTTAGACACAAGTACATTTTCTACTTGTGACGACTTGTGGTGATGAGTCCCAAGTTCTTCATAATTACAATATTTTGCAAGCATTTTCAAACCCCTTAGACGTTGCTGTATCACAACCCCAAACTTCAATCCGTTTAGATGAAAATATATTCTTCTGTTTAAGAAAATCCTGCCTAAATATAGGCTTAAATTTAATCAGGAAAATTCTTCAAAGATGCTCTCACTACTGTCTGAGAGAGCTCGAGCTATTTTGCCAGTAAAAATTGGTAAAAATTAAGTCTCTAGATGTGCAAACCGATAGAGTCCTGAAAGACTTGTTCAAGTTACACCAGCAAATGTTGGTTTCAAAAAACATTCACTTCAGGGTCTAAGTACAAGTCCCAGGTTTACTTGACTTTTTTTAATTGAAAAACCATGTATGGCTTTATTTACACTTCACATTTATGGAAAGAGGTCTAGCTGCAGAGCACAGGCAGAATATCCACAGGAAGAATGTCATCCAAACTTGTCATGTGACCCAGAAATACATTTACAGCAACCTAAATGTGTGTTTGTAGTACATCTTTTGTTTCTTTCAGAAATTAACATTGTCGGACACCCGTAGATCCAAAAATGTTGAAAAAGAAAAAGCATGTAAAAAAAGTTATTTAAAAAAACATTTTTTTATGTTTGTAACTGATGTTATTCAGAAACTTGCAAAATATGAGTCTAAATAGCAGACTCAGATATTTTTTTTTTCTTTCATTATCTATGTTATATGAGTATAATATACATAATTGAAGTGTAAATAACATTTCAGTTGTATAAAGCTGTGACACAAAAAGCAGTCTGGAAATCAGAGCTCTCAAATAGTAATGATTGAGACAACAATCCTTGTATTTCTGTAACAAATGGAGGTCACATGTTTCCTGTGGAGTCCCTCCCCATAGTTTACAGCTAAATGCTCTTGCAATGTGCTGCTTCAGTTCGTGTATTACATAAAATTGCAATGATACATTAATGTCTGTGGTTTGTAAGAAGTGCGAGAATACTGTTGCAAGGCGTATACACATTCAAATATGCAAACAGCACCTTAAATATGCATGTTTACGTGTACATCTAAAGCACTAAAGCAATGACGGATCTGGATATAAAGGGGAAAAGTCTGTGTCTATCCATTTCTTTCCTAATTGACACAAACACACATCTACCAGGCTTCACCTCTGTGTGCTAACATGCAATCCCCCTGCTGCGGTGTGACCGGTACTAGAGGACACAAGGGGCAGAATTTCGTTCAGGATGTTGCACTAAATTGCACCAGTTGTCAAACGCATCACTTTGGAGTTGTGATATTTGGCAATTATTTTAATAAAGATAGAAAGACTCTGACTGGCTGTAAGGACTTCCTAATTGCAAGTTTTTTTGTTTTTTTTATATATATATAACCTTGAGTGTGTTTGTTCAACCAGACCTTTGAAGTGGAGGCATAAAAAGATTTGCGGCGCTTTCTTCAACTTTGGACACTGAATTCAAGAAAAAAAGGCACAGACTTTTCCTCAACAAAGTATCCTTTCGTGAGCTGCTGCTCACAACCAAAAGGAGATATTTATATCACTCCTGCAAAATCACTCTCCTAAAACAAAGCATTCATAATGGATGAAAGCCTAGCAGTCCCTGCGAAGCATCTCATTCCATCAGAAGCATTGAAGACAAGGACAGGATATGCATATCACCTAGAGATTCGCGCACATGTTGGAAATTAAAAGACTAAAAGTAAACTGAGAAATATGAGAGAAACTGAGTGTAATGATCATGGAGCAACTTCGGGTTTTTAATCAAAATTTAAAGAAGCATGCATTTGATAGGTGCAGTAAGAATGAAAAAGGCCTCGATCATTGCATATGTTGAACTACACCCACTTGCTAGTTTATTAGTTGCACCCTGTAAATACAAGGGCGAACCATCTCAAGTCTTCATTCCATGAATCTAACAGTGTCTGAGACATTCCTCAGAGATGTTTCGTCCATATTGAGAGGATAGAGCAGTGCTGTGCTGATTTTAGATCTGGTGGGTGTGGATGACGCTGAAGTATGGTAAACTCATTGTCATGTTGACAAAAACCATCTTGGACGATTTGAGGTGTGTGACATCATCTATTTTCCTGCAAGTGTAATCTATAAGAAGGTGGAGCAGCAACAATACGCAGGTAGACTGAGGTATTAAAACGATGCTCGACTGATAACAAGGGGCATGAAATAAACCTAGAAACCTCCAATCTGATCATTCATCTGTTCATGCCGTTTACAGCAGATTCTACCCGTAACATCTGCACATTGCATCTCACATCAGGATGCATTGAACCAGTTTTGGTAATCTTGTGAAAAATTATTCTCTTTTGTTTTTCTATTCTTAGTAACACTAGTAATTCATGGAGTATTTTTCTACTACTCTAGCTCAACCTGTTCTAGGCTTGACACATAGATGGTATTCCAATTACTTTTGTTATTATCAGAGATACTGTTGCTGTTAAATCACTCTGCTCATTCTCATCTAACTTTCTGCATCAACAAGGCATTTTTTAAAAAAAAATTCACACAATAATGTCAATTACATTATATTCTCTTGTAAACCTAAGAGATAGTGTGAAAATCCAAGTGTCAACATTCTCTGAAGCAATCAAACCAGCCCATCTGGCACCAACAACCTTGCCACATTCAAAATGACTGAAATCCCTTTTTCTTCCCCGTTTTGATGCTTTGTTTGAACTTCAAGTCCTCTGCATTCACGAAATGCTTTTGAAATGCTGCAGTGTTTTTGACTGATTCGCTATTTGTGCTAACAAGCAATGGGTGTACTGGTGTGTTGAGTGCATGTCGACAAGTAACGGTGGAGCCTCAGCATTCCAAGACGGTTCAACTGCACGATATTGGTGGTTATATAAAGCTTTTTATTAATTGATACTAAAGAAGTGAAAAAAAAATAGTCGTGGTGTCTCGCGGCAGCGGTTTAACATGCAGTGAGAGAATGCGTCTTTTCTAAAATATATTTAAAGAGAGTGTTTACGGTGGGTAATCGGGCTCAAAGTTCAATTTTCTATACAAAGTCTAAGTGGTGTAATGAACTATACGCTGAATTAATCTGATTAATTAATCTGGTCGGCCTACCATCAATGGGAGCAACTTTAAGCATTTGGTAGTCTAAGGTGAATAAATCTTCAATAGTGAAGACAGTGCTTTTACATATAGCATAAGATCACACAACTTTATTAGGCAATTGCTGTAACATTTACAGAAACTGGACACATTATTTTGTCCAATTTCCCAAATGTGCCTTTGTCCACTGTATATGGCGTCTCTGAGTCGTGATGACCTTATCAATTGTTTTTTTGTTTTTTTGTTTTGCTCAAAAAATCCATGGAAACATGGCTGGGCTGAAGATAATACTACAAAAACTGCAGTATTAGAAAGGAGATACTTGAGCATATCCTTGTTTTTGTGCAGTATTTTATACAGGGATATGAGTGTTTGCAAAATGCATTCAAGGAACCTAATCAATAGCCATAGACAATGCATCTGAAGGAACTGTATTCTGGAAGTGTGGAAGTAGTCCCACATAACAAGCATTGACAACTTAGGATGAAGTCCTTTCGGCCTCTCTGACTATTTTGAAGGGGTGGACAGAGTTGCCCCTTTACTGTCATTAGTCGCAGAACACTGCATACAGAGTGGCAGCTTTACCAGATGTTCAGTCACAAGGCCCAGATGGGCAGAGCAGATAAACATCAGCTGTCTGCAGAGAGTGGAGAGTTGGAGGGACGGGGGGAGAAAAGGGGAAATGGGGGAATAGCGAAATCAGCACAGATACTGTACTGGCTCCCCTTACTGTGAGGAGGTGCTCCAGTTTCCTCTTCGCTCAGTCCCCTGCTGCTGTGAGCACTACCACACAGGCGGATGACAGCGTTATACCCCTACTCCAGAATAGAGTTCCCTGACGACTAAATAAGGCTTTGTGTCTATATAATTTAAATAACTTGTTTGAAGTAAACTGTAGGGGAAGCAAGGTATTAATGATTCTTATTCATATAAATATTTTTTTGAAGTGGATGCTAATAAAACCTCCTCTCTTAATGTCAGTGAGTGCTGAGACCTCTCTTCCAAAGCCTCTGTTTTTCTAAAATCATCGATTGAAACATTTTTTTTTCTCATTATTTTTTAAGAGTTTGTCATTTGAATGAAGCACCAACAAAAAGAAGAAGCTTCTCATGGTAAAATAAATGTTAGCGATCTAAAGAAAATTGCGCACTGTTACATTTCCTGCCAAATATTCAAAGATCACCAAGAAGGAAGTGTTTATTCTGAATCATTTGACAGCTTCAAGTCGGCCAACAACCACTGAGCCAAAGTGACAACCAAACTCCCACAATGCCAGACTGTTTCTGTGAAAACACAGCCAAGAAACAAGAGCTGCCTTTCTATAAAAAG